CGGGGCACACGTCAGCTCTTACGGCGAGAGGCAGCGGGGCACACGTCAGCTCTTACGGGCGAGAGGCAGCGGGGCACACGTCAGCTCTTACGGGCGAGAGGCAGCGGGGCACACGTCAGCTCTTACAGCTGCACTCATCTGTATGTTTACCTGCAGACTCCCTCAGCACACCCCACAAGTATATTGCACTTAGATCACACACTTAAAGTTTGGTATCAGAAAAAGTAGTGTGTGAGTTAATGAATGGAACCATAAAATCGTTTTTGTATGCCTGTTTTGTTGTAAGATAGTCACACCTATGGCTGTTAATTTAGCAAAAACAAATACATTAGTCTTCCCCTCACATCCTGAGTCCTTCCTGGTACACAGCCAATGGCTGACAGCCGAGCGTGGGCTGATTAATGGCCGCCATTCCGACTGCCAGTCATGGGCTCCTTCCAGTGAGCTTTGTTGGGGCCCGTCAGGCATTTTGCGTCCATTCGCTAATGAGGCAGCAGACAAAGCAGGTGTGGATATATGTGATTTATTAAAAAACATGACAGCACATTGGGCACGATATAAAGTCGGAAGTTTCATAACGGATACTGCGTGCTCCTGTTTTCAGGCATTAAAATTACAATGCTAATCAGCACAAAAGCAGAACTCTGACATTTTTCACGGGCTGACCGATACCGGAAAGAGGTGCAAGCTAATCCACAGGTGGGAACCAGTACAACATATTGCTGAATTTAAAAAGGAATGTTTGTCTAAACATCGCCGAAGCGTCATACGACCACAACACAGGCCTGGAGGACTGGGATGGAGTCCGAGTTCCCAGCATCCTCTGTGTCCACTGCCACTCGTAGAAGCCAAACCAGCAGAGTAAACATGAAGAAAGGCAGGTTAGAGTTCATAATAGCTGACCTTCTGCATCTTTAGGTACATAAATGGGAAGGGGTTGTAACAAAGCATTCATGGGATATGGAGTCCACAGCAGGGGCTCAGACTTCATTTCCCATCAGCACTCTCTCATTCCAGGATACTGTTTTGGCACCAGCACCCAGCCCCTCGTTCAGGCAGTGAGACACACAGAGGCAGACATGCACAGAGCCGGCCTTCAGGACCAGGCCGGTCGGGGTTCCTTGGGCGTGATGGAGGACACGCTGGACTCCGGTCGGGTCCTTGCAAACCGGGAAGCTCTGCTGGAGCTGGAGCCTAGCAAAGACAGGGAGTGACCCATAAGACACAGCCATCATCACATGCTGAGTACTCCAGGCTAACAGCCACAGGTTTGGATTCAACAGTGGCTTCAAACAGAATCACTGCTTTCAGACTAACGGTACACACCATGAAAAAGTAGTGCTGTATCAGCTTCGAGGTGCCAGTTCTTCCCAATCGGGTCCTCAGGGACCTTCAGACAGTCCATGTTTTTGCTCCCTTCCAGCTCCCAGTAGGAAGCAAAAAAGTGGACCATCTGGCAGAAAACTGGGAGGGAGCAAAAATGTGAACTGTCTCCAGGCCCCCTAGGACCAGGTTGGGAAACACTGCCTTTAGATTGGTGATCATTCTGGTGTTGGTGGGGTAGGGTGGGGTGGGTTAGTAATTATACCTGCCGAGCTCCGGCTAGATGGGGGCCTGCTCTGGGCAGCACTATGGGTCGGGTCGCCCAGGTAGCCGGCATGGCGCTGATAGTCAGCTAGCTGCTCGACTCTCCTCAGGCCTGAAGTGGGCTTCACAGCCTCCAGCCTCTTCAAAAAAGCCTTGGTTGAAGATCCATCCGTGGGGTGGGGGGGGTGGTAGAATCAGGGGGTACAAGATCAGCTATGTGGATGAAAGGAGTAGTGTGGTTCTGTAACATATGCCCCCCCCACACCCCACACACAGCAGACAGATGACCCATTGCTAAGAACAGAAGTGATGCCAGTCAGTGATGCCAAACAGGAGTGGCCAGAAAAACCGGCTTTAAGTCACTGCTATAATATCATTCAAGGTGCGCTGCAGACATGCAGGCTCTCCAACCTCTCCTGAGTGCCCCCTGCTGGTCTAAAACCATGACCTTCACAGTCTTAAGTAAGACTAACCATGACCAGCCTGTTAGCCTGTCAGATGTGGGAAGTTCTGTGCAAACGAAACAGGGACAGGGAACGACAGGGAACTGTCACCTGCAACTACCATCACCCCAGGTTACTGGCACCCATGCCATTATTTCCGATTCACTTATGAGAATAAACATATCAGAAGATATGATAGGATTTCACTGCAAATGCCACAGAAATTCCAAAAGCTGCAAAATTTCTATTCAAAATGAAGGATTCTCTAAATTTTACCACAGAGGAAGGAATGATCCTTCCTGAATGATCAGGAAGCAGCACAGAGAAACTAGACCAAAGCAGGACAAGGCACAGTGCTGTGCCGTCCCAGCCAGCCGGCAGTGCACTGAGAGGAGGCTTTGGCCAGGGCGTGAGAGCATCGCGGGCCGTATTCAGTTACGCCGAGGCTCTAAGAATAGCGGGGAGATCTAGGAAAGCAGGTTTTCCACGCTACAGGACAGGGTACAGACTGTTCTGCTCTGGAGGAGGAGGGAGGAGACTGTGCTGGGGGAGGGGTGCTTCACGATAATATATATGCGGAGAAACGAGGGGCCGTAATACTGAACTGGTGCTGTAAAGTACAACATTTAGGAGCTGTTTTTCAAGAGGTGAGTCCCCCCCCCCCACCGAGCTACTGAGCTCTAGTGTAAAATGGTTCACTCGGGGAGGGGGAGGGGGTCAGCTGACCTTAATGTCAACTGTCCCAGCAGCTGCAGGTATCTATTTTGGCTGCTCCATCTCCGCTTTCGCTTTCTGTCACTTTTGCCGGCAGGCTTGATAAAAACGGTGCCGACGCGTACCACTGCGTACCACTGCCCACTGCGAGGAGAGTCACACGCGGCCACGTGCAGAAGCACGCCAAGGCCATGGACGACGTGCAGACCCCACGCAGACCGGCTGGGCTAACTCAGAAGACCATCTTGGTGATTACATGTTAAAATCCTTCATACTGGAAGAAAAGTGTTCTTCGTGAAACTAACTCCTTTATCAAGCTAGTAAGAACTAGTAAGTTTCTATACCAACAGTGTGTTTTTACGAAGACTGAATAAGGAGTGGATAAGGTGTGATAAGGACCTTCGACATCCTTGGGGTTGCACATCACCTCAGTAAGGCTGACATGAGAAGAGAGCCCTCTTTTTACCTTTAATATACCAGTATGAGCTATATATGGCACGCATGCTGCTCAACATAAAACTGTACATTAGTTCACATAACTAACAATTGTACCTGTACGTACAGTGACCACCGTTTCTGCTGAAGGAGAACATACTACATTGGACGAAAAAGGTAACAGGGCCAACATGATGGGTTACAGATGCCCCCTGCTGGCCATGGCAGCATCAACACCTATTGCAAGTTCGGCAACACGATCCCCGATTCTGAATCTGGCTGACAGATCCAGTTCCTTACGAAATCTGACCGAGGAAAAGTGAGACAGTGCCACAGAGGATACTCACATGACCGAAGCACGCTCCATTGCAGTTATAGCACCATCCGCGACCTGGCATAGAAAGAGCAGGGCTATGCTCCGCCCTGACGAAATGTTTATTTAAACAGAAACAGTGGTGTGTCGAACACCCTGCCGTGTTATGCGAGTGTTTACAACTATGGCTGGGATCCATTACGGCCACTGCCACTTTAAACTGACAGGTATTATATACATTATGATTAGGTAACACCTCTGACACACCCCCTAAAGGACAGAAAACGCTCCACACCGTTTCAGAGAAACATGTCGTTCCACCCAGAAATGTAAAAAAAAGGCTGCACAGTTTTCAGAGAGAACGTGCCCCAGCAGGGGCTAGGGCCAGGGGTCCGCTGTGGGCACGGCCTACCGAGGGGCGCGGATCCGGCCATCTTACCATGTTCTCCCTCTCAATCCTCCGCTGCTCACGCTGCCTGTTGAGGGCGCTGTGGGAAAGGCGTGAGGCAGCACCGCGGCCAGACACGGCGGCGCTGGAGCTAGGCCTTGGCGTCTGGCGGGACAGCTCGCGGAGCAGTCTCTGGTTCTCCCGGTCGATGCGCCGCACCTCCTCATTGCTGAAGGAGAAATTCTTCCGGGCCCGACCCAGGGGCATTTCCACGTGGGGGCTGCTGTCGGCCGGCTGCTCCAGGCTCAAGAAAGCTTTGGGGCAAAGGTTGAAACGGGCTGAGAGAGGGTGCGCCGAACGGAGTGGACAGAAAACATGACCTGCTAATTGCTAAGCTAACAAGCAGACACACAGCCCCCGGCGCTCACCTCACACATGGCAGCCAGACAGGTACATAGAGTGGCACTGTGTGAGGCCTATCCAGTTGCTGTCTGACTCAAGCCATGCCCACCCAGGACAGGCCCTGCCCTCAGTCAGCCCCTCTCTCAGCAACACTGCACTAACAGCTCCCTGACCAATCATATCTCACCCCTGACCAATCATGTTTCACTTGCCTCACAGTTTAAAAACTTTAGAGGGTTTAAAAGTTTAAAAGGGTGAGAGATGTACCTCTGAGTAGGTGGTTAAGATCCACAGCATCATCCATGGCCCTCTGGCCACTCCTACCACCAACACCAGACATGACGGACTCAGAGGGTGTCAGACAGGGGCTGCTTGAGTAAGCTTGAGCCCCGCCCACACCTGGGCTGGAGGTCCTCTCACCTTCTGGGTCAGAACCCTCGGGGACCCGCAGGTGCTGGGAAGCGAGGTGACCCGCCCCCTCTTGCCTGCCCCCGCCGATGCTCAGGTCAAACGACTGGACAGGGCTGATGTCCGGCGTGGACAATGGGGTCACGTCTGTCACCGTGTCGTCGGACTCCCCTGTGGTGCACGCTCCCGGCCTGGACTGGCATCGGGGGGACGGGGGCGCCAGGCATTTAGGCACCGACGTGGGTTTCCTGCTAAAAGGCGACTCTGGCTCAGAGCTGCAGCTCCCGGAGCTGCTGTATGAGCTCGCAGACCCAGATGAAGAGCGGGACCCCCTCAACTTCCTACTAAGCCTCCTGGGAACAGAGCGGCCCCCCAGTGAACGCCCAGCAGGCTCTTCGTCGCTCTCCTCCTCACTCAGCTCATAGCCATCTTCACCCTCGTCCTCATCCTCCCGCTCCTCTGCAGAGGACCCGGTGTCAGAGGGAACACGGGTACCATTCTTGCGAGTGTCCTCTGACCGTCTGCCCTCCGACGGGGACCTCCCAGGCTGAGGAGACGAGGACCGAATCGGCTCCTTCAGGGGCAGGCGGTCCTCATTTGCCTCAGAGGGGCTCTGACTCCCCTGAGAAGAGGCTCCGCCCTGTTCTTCCCCTCCCCACGACGGCCCACTGTGATGGACACCCTGAGTGCTGCCTTTGTAAGCACCAGCACACACTTCAGAGTCACTGTCGAAAAAGGAATGGTCCACCTCACCTTCCAGATCCTTGGAGTTGTACATCACCTCAGTAAGGCTGACAAAGAAGAAGTCAGTTATAAACACGCCACTGCATTAAATCAAAGATGATGTTATACAACAGACTGAATCATCATCTCTTCAGAGTGTTCAACTACAAATTTACCCTGTTAGATCAGCACTGTCACTGGAAACCTATCAAATTAAAGTTACCTCCAGATAAAGAACATTATCTTCTGCAAGTGTTTAGTTCTATTTATCCAGGTTGTGCTGGCAAGAAACATTGACTGTTAACACTGACACCTACACATTATCCATCTTTAATCCTGAGAGAAAGAACATGACTCACAGGATATTAAAGTGAGAAAAAAAACACTGTATCTAATTAATGTCCCCGCTTCTGAGGAAAAATACAGCGATGAAGACACATAATCCTGCTCACTGATCTCATTACCGACGGAAACTACGAGAAATATCCATCTTGATCTAATACCGTTCACGAATTAAAGACAAAGCAATTAAGACACGTGTCTCAAACACACTGACACTAATGTATTTTGCGGTGTAGCCACATGCCTCGACAAACAGCCAAACGCCACTTCTGCGGTGCAAATAATCAAATTAATCCCAAGACATTCGTACAGGAAAATCACAACCCTTTCTCAGATCCCATCTCTTAGCAACAGGTTTTAATACCTGTATTAAGTAGATATTTTAATACCTATGCTGAACTTCGGAGACGAAGAGTGAGTGAGAAAAACAGGTTTAATTTCTGCTTTATGGTGCAGAACTGAGCGGTGATGTGCACATCCTTATTGCTGAAACTTAAAATAAATAAAGGTACCGCTGCGGTGAAGCCCGATCGGTCACCGGAGCCTAGTCTCTCTAGTCTCTCCTACCCCGCTGCGACTCTTTCTGAACAACGCGAACCCCACGCCCCGTGGCCCAGAAAAGCGGCGACAATCCCTTCAGTACTTACATGCCTTTCGCGGCGGCGGAGCGCCCGCTTATCTCGGCTTAGCAGGGGACGCTCTCCGGCTGGCTAACAAGCTAACAGGCTGGTCGCGGTTAGCAACCGTTACCAAGTTGCGTAACTTCCGGCTCCGAGTCGAGGGGGGATCCGGCGCCCACAGCCGGAGTACAGCTGGTCCATGTGGTCTGTCAGACATGTTATAATAATGTAATAAAGTTATGTAATAATATAATATGAATATCTCGCTGCAAAAAGGAACAGTACTGCTACAAATATAATGCTTACTGCGAGCTGTGTTTGAGTCGCATATTTTACGTTAATATATATGGAGAATGATAGTGTGCCGTGGTGTATTTATAGGGCTTACATTAATTAGTAAATAGATAGACAAATAAATAAACCCACAACAGGATAAGTGGTTGTAAGATGGATGGATGAATGACTGTAAATACTCATCCACTGGAAATCCATTCGGGATAGCCTCCGGATCCCCGTGGTCTTAGGAAATGGATGGTCTCGGTTGTTCGGAGCATTGTAGGCAATTTAATATTGGAGCGTCTGAGCAAAGTCGAAAATGTTCACATTTCAAAGGTAGCATGGTATTATAAACGTAAACACGATGCCAATCTTTGTAAGCAGTTTTAAAATTGAAGAATCTATAATTAGATAAAAATCAAGCGCCAAATCTGCTGAGGTAACCCGAGATGCCTGGCGAGTTACTTTAAATGTAATTTAAAGCCATATCAGTTGTTCGCATAGTGAAGACAAATAATATCGATTATCTGATAGTAGATAGTAAATGATAATGAGCTATAAATAGTCTGTCGCGCCCGATTGGCCGACAGTGAGCTGCGCTTTGAGCGCTTCCAGTCAGGATGAGGGGATCCGCCGTGCAGAGGTAGCCTATGATCGTGAAACTGCTGGTCTTTATCACATTGGCTATCGGTGGCTTGCCGGTCTGTTTTCCGACAACCATTTGGAAAAGAGAAGCCGAGTCCTTGTGCATCAGTAACTGTATAGCTGGTTTTTTTTATCGCAATCTGTAAGGGTCTTGACGCCGAAGGGGAATCTACCAGCTAAGTCATCTTCAGACCTGTATGGTTCACGGTTTCGTCAGATGCCGGCTTTGAGGTCATAATATTATATACTATAGGCGGATAATAAGATCCTCATAGAGATGCTTCATGCCGGTTATGTGAACAGTGCCGGACGGTGACTGAATGCTTCTCCCGGCGTGCGAACTGGATGTCCAAAGTGAAGGAGATGATTTTCCATGCTGGCTTCCTAATGTCTTTATAGGTGATAGCAGCGCCACACGTCCTTGTGCTCTGTTATGAGCGACGTCCGGACCAAGAAGGCTGATCTCCGTCTGCTCGGCTTTAGGGAGATGTCATTTAAAGCAGCATGCGTCCGGGCGGCTGCATCAGTAGAAGGAGCAGCTCGGCGTCCGGGGCTGCGCCCCTCGGCTCCCCGCCCCGTTTCTTTCTCTTTCTGACTGCTTTTACACTTGCCGCCGCCGTACTTTTCGAGCTCGGGGACGGCGGACTGACCGTGACCTTGCTTTTCCTCAAGCTCTTCGTGTACGCGTCGTTCCTCGCCGCATGCTTGTCTTTAGGGACCCTCGGACTCCTTGCGAAACGGGATCCCTTTAAAATCACGAGCTTTGACACTTCCAGGAAGACGCCGACATACTTGTTGGATTTACTCAATAAAAAAATGGTAAGATGTCGACCATAAAATAATGTAATTGTTTTATTTAGTCTTATTTTAATGGTCTCTAATCGCTCATTGCTTTTTGCGAGCATATAACACATTTTAAATGTCAGTGAGGGTCGGGTACGACAAATGAAATTTTATAATCTGATCGGCATAAATCGTTTCATTTATTTTTAAGTGAACTTGGATATTTAATTTACCTAATTATCTATTTAATTTACTTAAACTGGAATTAGATATGTTTAAACGCACATTCACAAACAAATCACATCAGTGAAACCGTGTACTGTATATTAAGAAAATAAGTTACATGTATGATGTGTACATACAGTTGGAGACAGCTGTTTCACTACAGTCTGCACAAAGAGTGGCACTAGCATTAAGTATAAACAAGGTTGTCCTTTTGGGCATTATTTCGCCATCACCAAATAATTACTGATGTCCTGTGCACAGGGTTTGGTGTTTCTGCTGTTGTGTAAATCACAGCAGACTGTACACATGCATCTGGAGTTTCAGGCACCAGCATGCTGCCCGATAGGGGTGCTGTCTTACACCCAGATATCCCACACACCCCCAGGGCCAGAAGGCCGGCGATGTCGTGGTGGCACACCCAGCCTGGGATGGTCACATGGCCCCTTCTGTACATGCAGCCCCCTGAGGCTGATGCAGTGCGCTCGGTGCATCCTGTGGAATGATACTGAACACCCTCACAGCCACTTCATAGCTCATAAGGAGTAAGCTTTGGCTGGGCCTGAACGCCTGTCCACCCTCCCCACCCAGCACCCACCCGCCCTTTGCACAACCCCCTCCGGGAGCCTGCCCGGCCCTCGCACAACCCCCTCCGAGAGCCTGCCCAGCCCTCGCACAACCCCCTCCGGGAGCCTGCCCGGCCCTCGCTCGGCCCTCGCAGAACCCCCTCCGGGAGCCTGCCCGGCCCTCGCACAACCCCCTCCGGGAGCCTGCCCGGCCCTCGCTTGGCCCTCACACAACCCGCTACGGGAGCCTGCCCGGCCCTCGCACAACCCCCTCCGGGAGCCTGCCCGGCCCTCGCACAACCCCCTC